GTAACTACAAATCTTGAGATAAGTCTCCTTGCTATAACAATGTGCAACATAGTTAATGGACTCTAATTTTATAAAATGAAGTGCAACTATAGCATGACAAAAAATGTATATTTTTTAGCATTCAAGATCTACAACTACATGTTTGATTGCTCAGATTCACAACAAATGTATTACCCTAACTGTCTTTAACCTCAAAAGTAAATTCATTATTCCATTCAAGGTTACACTTCATTGACTTTGTTGTGTTCTCTTGCAATACTTTTAATGCCATTGGAGATATGTCAATTATCTAAGTATCAAAGAACTCCCTCAATTGTCCTATTATTCTCATCACTTTGACCTTTATTTATTCAACCAATATGATGATAATTTTGTGTCTTAGCTTCAAAATTCATGAATTGAAGCTTACATCCATGTTGTTATTAACACTATAGCTAAATATCTTAAAGTATACCTTAGAGTACCTCTCTATATTGTACCACAGTAAGTCATCACATATTTTATTGCCTAACTTTTTCATATGAACCAAATTTCTTCTCAATTCTTGTTCATATGTAGATTTGGTGCATCTCCAAAAACAGTTTCTTCTTTTAATGTCTTTCCTTTTCTTGAACCAGTTGGCTAGAATGTGTTTATTCTTTTTTGCAGAACATCTTGAATAGCTTTGTCAAGACCCTTCAACAAAATTTAAACATATTAGACAAGATGAGTATTATTAATGAATAAAATACCTAATGAATAAATGAAAAGAGAAGAAAAATACCTTTTGCATATCGGTAATGGTTGTCAATTTTGATCCATGTCCAAGCTCAAGATCATCTCTTAAAAGCCTGATAAACCATCTCCAAGTGAATATGTTTTCAACTTCACCCACTCCCCATGCAGTGGTAGAATTTGGTTGTTCCCATCTTAACAAACAACCACGAGTAATTGACCTTTAGAAATACCTTTCAAGAAGTAACCATCAAATCATATACATCTTCTAGCTCCAGCTTTTTATGTCTTCTTCAAAGCATCAAAGCATATGTTAAATGATTGTAACATTTTTCTTCCACCTTCAATTCTTCCCAAGTCTTACCCACCTGTGATACCTGAATTAGTCCTTAAGAGCTCATCTCTATAATCTAGAATTCTTTTAAACTCCTCCACATGATCACCCATAATTTGTTGCAACACATCATTTCTAGTTTTCCTTGCTACAGTCCTCCCAACGTGCACCTCCAAATCTTTCTTCACTAAAATTTGAAACTAAAAAACTCTAATGCCAAGCGTAGAAATAATTTTGTCCTTGTACCTTTCTGATAAGTGCTTTGAATTCATCAATTTATTTTTGTTTTGTGTCATTACATTTATGTATTGGATTATAATTCTTCACCACAAAATCTCATGTTCATGAATCATGACTTCCAAACAACAACCATGGACAACCAACTGTACACTTTACCATCACCTTAGTTGCTTCATTAATATATTTATCCAATTTAACATGCTCTTGAACTACATATCTAGTAATAGCTTCTCTAAACTGCTTAATACTTTCAAAAGCAAGTCCAGTCTCCCAAACTATTAACTGACAAGTAGGATCAAAGACAACTTTCTTTTTATTTCTTTTTGCTCTTCTTGCTTTTCTTTCTCTTTTTATAGGTTATTCAACCTCATCTTCCTCATCAACATCTTCATCGGTATCTATTTCAAAACTAACAGCTTCATCTGAATCAAAGTAGGGCTTATCTCCAACTATCTTACCCTCTAAAGTAGTTTATTTCTTGGATAAATATTCATTATATTCCAAATCAATTCATTTTTTCTAAATTAACTCCTTCAGATCTAGGGTCCTTTTTATTAATTTTAGCAGTCATTTTCTCTTTCCTAAGAGTTATAGCCTCCTCATAAACATCACTATCATACTCATCTTCTCATTCACCAAACAAATCTACATTTTCACTTGCTTCTGTTTCACTTTTCGAATCAAATCCAACTATTGGAATATCAGATGCAGCAACAACAACAAAAGAAGTCTCACCCAAGTCTTCTCCAACACTAGTAGAAGTCTTACCCAAGTCTTCTCCAACACTAGCAGAATCTTACCCAAGTCTTCACCCAAGTCCTCTCCAATACTAGTAGAATTCCTACCCCAAGTCTTCACCCAACTCTTCCCCAACATCAATAAATGTATCACCCACAACAGGTTCTTGAGGTTCTACATCCTCTTCAAAGGCCTAAAACCTCACTACCCTTGAAGGTTTGACTAGATTCTTTATCAAAAGTGGCATTACATTCCCCACACACATCATTTACATATCCAAGTTCGGGGGGGGGGGGGGGGGACCACAATAGGTTCTTCAACTAAATGAATCACATAAAGTTCAACAATATCTCCATTTTTTAACTGAGCTACAATAACCATAATATCCCTTATCACTTTTAACTTCAACAACATGACGAGCTTTAGGTGGTTTAATATAAACAATACAACCAAAAAAATTATAGCCAATTTCTTTAACATAATCAGCAAATTCAAAGTAGGAGAATTTATCTACATCTACAGCAAAACAATTAGTGACAATACCTTCATTGTACTTAATATGAGGGTTTTGTTGTAATTTCCCACCATGGTGAAACCTCAAGGTGACATACACATCCATTGTCAAACTAAAAAGTTTTTTTTAAAAAAAAAGCTTTAGGCAAAAGCCTAAACTCAAATGCTACAACCATCCAAAAAAAATTTACTAACCTGATAACTTTGTTTTCGTTGAGAAACACCACAAATTTGAATAATCCATTCACAATATGTGTTGAAGATCCCTTCACAATGAACTCATATTAGGTTTAGTTTTAGAATGACAATGAGATTTGAGATTTAGGGATATTCTTTTAGAAATGGGCCAGGTTTATTTTGGGAACGGGTGGGTTATATGTAACGGGTAAGTTAATTTTTTAAACACTTAGCGATGTGGACGAATGAAAACGTGCATGTCTAACAACACCCAACCTTCAACTGGGCTGGTGTTCGAAGGGTTGAAAGAAATTCACTTCAAAGATGTTAAGGGGGTATTTAAACACCCGTGTAGTTTAAGTGCTAAAGGGGGTGTTCGGAGGGTTGAAAGAAATTCACTTTTTAATGTGTTTTCTCTTAAAATAATAGACAAAATTTATTATTTCAGTTAAGGAGAATGAAGTTCTTGGGCTCCAAGACAAGAAACATCAATGAGTCCACAAGTAGAACAATGATGTTAGGTTTTAGGACTTTCTCGGATGCCAGTATCCATCTTGATTGTACTTATATGTAACGTTAATAATACGAGTACGAGTTAAAACCCCTGTAGAGACAGGAGTAGGCCTAAGAATTTCTACATTAACATCCTTCAACCATATTAGCTTCAAAAACTTAAGCAAATAATACCCTTCAATAATCCATTTTGCCTCGATGTTATGATTCCTCACTATGTCTTTCATCTTTGAACACCAAAAAGGAAGTGTTAGAAAATAATAACTTGAATATATATTACTTCAAGCTTAAGGGATCACAAAATGTTCCTCGAACTCTTACCTTAACACAAGCTTCAAGTACCAAGAACCTATAAAATCATCAAGTTCTCTCCTTCGAAAAAACTTCAAACGCCACCAAACAATACGGGAAACATGTGTTAGTTGCTCTTCACAACACCCCTAGCATATGCCTTGTTTTTTGGAAGAATTGGATGGTGAAATCGCTTGATTTTGAGCTCGGAGCCTTAAGGAAAAGAGAGGAATACGACCTTGATGTTCTCAGAGATTTTTTGAAATGAAAATAGTACCAAAAAGCAGTTATAAAGTGATTTTGACCAGATCTGATTCTCTAATCTGGATCTACCCTCTTCGATAAAATTGTCATAACTTCTTACTTTGATGTCGATTAGACAAATAATTTTATGTGTTGGAAGTTAGACTCACGTTCCTTCGATTTGATAGGTCGTGATCCCTCTAACTCACTATATATTGGGAGATATGCTCGCTCAAAGCCAATTCATAAATAAGATTATATAAAAACTTTTCATCAATAAATCCGCCAATTAAGATTTTTACTCTAAGGCTCCCTTAAGCCAATGACTTTGGTCTAAAATATTTCCAAATGACTTAATATAAAAATTCCTTTGTATAATCATCCATTTACGATTATTACCCCAAACGTGATAATTTGCCTCGTCAACTTAAAACTTGTTATTTTAAACGTTACAAATTATAACACGTTACACACGCCTAGGGTATAGGCTCGAGTTCCGTCAAGTCTAACAAACAGAGTTCATTAAATATTTGACGGAAAAAATATATTTATTTTTGGCCATAGATTTTCCAAGTAATATTTGGGGAAAAATTTGGCAAATAATGTTTGTCCATAGCCATTATTTGGCAAATATCCCAAATTCTCAAATACTAGTTTTTTCTAGTATTTGAGTCAAATCTCATTATTTGGGATCTTTTAATTAAAAATTAAAATTTTACACCAAACTTTTATCTTTTACAAAAACACCCTCTATAGTAGTTGTTTGCGTTGTATTACATAATTTTTTATGTGAACATCAAAGTAGTGATGAAATATTCAATGAATATGAAAATGATGATATGGTTGTTGATGGAAATGATGAACAATCGGCTCAGGGTAAAAAAGGTCTACTTCACGATGTATGGAATGATGTTTGTTGCACTCACTCCAAACTACCACATTGCTCCAGTGTCATGGACACCACTTGTTATTTGTTGCAACGAAGATCTAATTGACTTGTGATACAAATTTATGATTAGTTTTGATACTTTTTAAAACTTATGGATATAAATCATATTTTTCTAAAAAAGTGAAATATGTTTCCTAAATACTATGACCAAACACATGGTGAAATTTCATCCAAATAATATTTGCAAAGAATATTTGAAAATCTATGGCCAATCGCTAGCTTAATAAACTTAAAGGACCAAACTTCCCAACGCTTATACTTGAGGTACTATTTTCAACATAACATCAAATATAAGAGACCATTACCCTTATATCTCAAAGGAAGAAAGAAGTAAAAATCCCCATTCCCCCATAACCCCTTCTGTGTGTGAATTTGGCGACAATGGATCGAACTCAGCTTCTTCTAGTGGGTTTACCCCTTTTTCTGTTCATCTCCGATCTCTTCCAACTATTTACTCCTCCACCTCAAAAACCCAATTCCGATCACCACCATCATCACCACCACCAGCCGCCGCCAGTGATCCAACAACCTCAGACTCTTGAATTTCCTACTCAGGTAGTGAGCATCACTCAATGTTTGTTTTTTAGATTCTTTAATTCTTTTCGATAAAAGGGTATCTTTTTTTATATGTTTCTTGGTGTTTGACTTGCAGAAAACTGGTGGTATTGGTGCAGTTGGTATTGGTAACACTGTCACGATTGATTTCTGCTCTTCTTGTTCTTACAGGTTTTGTTTCTATTATTGTTTCATCATATGGGGTTTTCTTAATTAATGGAAGTTTTTAGAATAAGTATATTGTTTTACCTTCTTTTCTATGTTACTACTACCACCTCCGTCCCAATTTATGTGATGAACTTTGACTTAGCACAAAGTATAAGGAAAAATGTAGACTTTTGAAACTTGTGGGCTGAAATAATCATAGATGTTCGTATGACTATAAATATCTCATTAGGTTTAAAATGAACATTTTAAAGTTTAAATTTTTACTAAATATAAAAATGTGTCATTCTTTTTGGGACGGTTTAAAAAAGAAAGTGTGTGATATAAATTAGGACAGGGGAATATGTCATTCTTTCTAAAGTTTGGATTTTGAACTAGCTATTGAACTTGTATTGTAGCTTATGTCATGAGATGTTGTATAGATCATTTATATCAACAAGAAAATATATGATACTGCCAAGAATTTTTTGAGTTATCGAGGAACATAATTTCTTGGCTCTCTAATGTGATTTGAACTCATCTGATTGAGTGCTTAACGTCATTTGAAGTAGTGTAATAGTCTTAAATGCACGATGGAAAAGAGGTCCCAAAACTAAAGGAGAACGTTGGAAAGCCTTACTGTATAGGTCTTTTAGAATGCCCCATAACCTTCTCGTTTGATTTGTAGAGAGGATGTTGTACAACTTCCTTTTGTGGTGACTTGTTGAATCCCCGTTTAGATGCAAAAACTTTTCCCATATATGCCAATATACAGGATCCATAGAAGTGCATGTTTTGGTATGTTTGGTGCGTAAAGATTTTAATCATGGATGTGGTTCCTTTGTATGGATAAGAAATGATATGGAATAGTAATTTTTGTTTATCTTTCCATTACTTTGTTCAATTGGTCACCTAGTCTGTACAGCTGTTTGCCCCTGAAGTCATAACATATCAAACTGCATCTAAGTTTCATGTTTCTTGGCAGAGGGACAGCTGTGACGATGAAAAACATGTTGGATAATCAGTTTCCTGGTATCCATGTCGTCCTTGCTAACTATCCTCCTCCACTTCCAAAACGTTTGTTGGGCAAAGTAGTACCCGTTTTCCAATTTGGAGTCATTGGCCTTGTAATGGCTGGTGAACAAATATTTCCTAGGTTGGGTATTGCGGTACCACCTCCATGGTTCTATCAGTTGCGTGCGAACAGATTTGGGACTATGGCAACAACTTGGCTCCTAGGAAATTTCTTTCAGTCCATGTTGCAAAGTTCTGGTGCTTTCGAAGTGTATTGTAATGGTGAACTGGTATGTACTTCTCAATCTGTCTATGCGTATCCTTTTTTTTACCTTTTTCCTTGAGGTTAAAAACGTTGGGAAATGAGTACCAATCTGTGCCTTTTTGTGTCTAAAACCATCTGATTTATGAGAAGAAAATTCTGGAAATCATCTTTACTTTAGTATAGACTAGATAGATGTTTATCTAAAGAGGCTGTTTGATCAATTAGCTATCTGTGATGCACTATCAGCCATCCATTATTAGATAGGTTATATTAATTTTTACTTTGTTAACTTCTTTGAAGGGGAACATTACTTTGATTCATCTGATATGCAACCATGAATGTAAAAAAAACGACTTTTAACTCTCTGAACACTTCTCATTCTCTTTCTCTTTCTCCTGCTTAGAGGGAAAAATTGCCTAAGACAATTTTCTTTCTCCTGCTTGTGGTTCATTTTCGGCCTGAGGATGTTGTTGGCATGTTATACTGTTTCTTTTAAATTTGGCGAAAATCATCTTTGAGCAATGCCTTTATATGAAGGATTTCAAGTGTAGCTAACTTTGAAGTACCATGATTCACAGAGATCTTTGTTGCCCCTGTAGCATGTGATATGAAGTTTTTATTGATTGCCTAGATATGTCAACTTATAAGACTTGAGAATGTGAGTCAATATCGGCTCCATTTACATTTCTCGTCTGTGTATCCAGTTAACAGAACAAGACTTAAGTCTGTTAGTAGGGTGTCATGCAATTAGAAAAAACTACAAAAAATCAGTGTGTTGCTTGTCATCAACACCTTATGTGTACTAGATATCTTTATTCCATCCATAGCTAGTAGCTTGTGGTATATTCTTGCGTCTCCTCTCACCGTCCAATTTAAATTTATATGACAGGTTTTCTCTAAACTGAAAGAGAATAGGTTCCCTGGCGAACTCGAGCTGAAAGATCTAGTTGGCAGAAAGATTACTAACCCAGCGGTAGTTGATGGCCTTGGTGCATCTTCCTGGTCGTAGATGTGTAGATTTCACGAGATCAATGGTTCCACATTAACTTTAGACTTAATGTTGTGGCCTTTCCATATCGATAGACATACATGCAATGAAAACATCCACCAGCATCTTCTTCAGAAATCGTTGTTTTGCTGCAAATGTTCTCAACCAGAAACATTCTAGGGACTGGTTATATGATATCGATAAAAATGACACTGAAAGAATCTGTGACTTTTGATTTTTATAATGTACAAACACTTTATCTCACAATGCAAACAGTATCTAGTAGCAGGTTGAAAGAATAATGATATGCTTAATAGTGTCATTAGACTCCCTGGATTATCCCTATTATCTCATCTTTCAAATGCATATGCAGATATGATCTACCTTAATCACAGCAGTTAACGGGGTGGATTTTTGTTCCGTTTGGTTTGGATATTCGATTTTGAATCGAAGAAATTATAATTCAATTCAATTAAGTTTGGATTAGATTAGATTTTTAAGTTTGATTCTGAATTAATCAATTTGGATATTTTAGAGTTTTTAAATTTTGAGGTTTTAAGGCAAGCTGCAATAATTAACAGCTTTCAATCTTCAATTCATATAGTAGTTTGCTCCTGGAAATGTATTACTTTCTACGTTAAATAAGATTGAGGCCACCCTTCACATTTTAAATTTTAATATTGGACTTGATATTGTGATGGGTATCGGGTATATGTGATATGGAATTATGGATGGGGCTAAATATAAGACAAAACATTCAAATTTTCGAATAAATTTTAAAAAGTTTAATCTATAATTCAAAAATTCAAACCAAATAACCAAAAAAATCGGATTTTAGATTGGCATCGCTCAGAAACTCAAAGATCTTATAAACGTTGCACACTTTAATTCTTAGTCGGTCGTGTTTTTTACATCTATTTTGAAAGGCTTTACTCACTTCACAAACAATAAATATGTCATCTGTTACATAATTTTCCTTTGCAGACAAACAAAAGAGACTGAAAATGAAGAGCAAAAAAATAATAAACCACCTAAGCTTTTCACAAATAATCTATGTTACACTCTGTTGCTTTAACCCAGTTTCGAAAAGCCATATCGATATGTACAGTATATATGTCAAATACCGACACTTTCTTAGGTGTAAGAATGATGAATCTTCTGTTTCCCAGTAAAGGATGATGAAGAACCCAAGACCTATCTTCATATCTGCCACCATTTTCGATTGCGATTTTCCATTACCTTAACAAGCTCATTTGCCAATGATGCAAAATCTTCAGCCCCACTGCGTAGTTCTTCAGTTCTTCGGTTAATTCTCTGAAAAAACATATAGACTTATACGTGTTATCGATTCACCAGAATAAGCAAAGGTTTGACACAAAACTGGAAACAGTATAACGAGAAATTGAGCATTTCTCAAAGAGGAGCACAGTGCAGAACTAGACAATGGCCAGGGACCAAGTTGCAGCACAAACAGAGGAATTTTTCATTTGATTCTGATTTCGGAATAATGCAGGCAGCCTTCCTATTCAATTTTCTGTCTGTCTACCTATCCCCACTTCCTCTAATCTTTAAATCTCGAGTGGTGTTAGCTTATTATACTCTCAACTCTTCTTGGTTACAAGCAAGAATTTATTTCATGTATTATCATGTTCAACTTTTCGTGTTACATGCACATCTTCACCATTTTAAACTCTAATTAACCTACCTCGAGTTTTTCTTGGCGTTCTAAAAGCTTATCTCTTGCTTGTCCAGCCGCTGATGATGCATCCTGGACCTGGAAGATATAGATGATTGAATATATCAATAAGAACATTTATTAGATACAATTCAGAATGAGGTGTCATAAAACTATCAAATATGACTACCCCAGTTTTTCTATATTTTGCTATGATTTCTTCACGTGTCCTAAGTCTGGGTTTGGCATCATCACCCTCAGAATCAAGCAACTTTTCTCTTTCAGTTCCTGCAATATATACAGGGAAACATTTGTTATTATGGATTCTGAAAGTGTAGATGATCAATTTGATGTAAGTTTACCTGTTTTACTATTTTGTGTGTTATGAGATGAAGTAGAAGCCACAGGAACAGGTTCATCAATTTCAATATCATCTGTGTCAAAAGTAAATCTTCAGTTAGGGACACATCAACTACGGAAATGCTGAATAAACCAATATATAGGGACAGAAAATAATGTCAGTCATGAAGAAGTAAGAACTTTAGATATGAAGGGATATTACCTATATCGAGCTCCAGTTCTTCTAGAACTTCCTTAGTTGGGGACGGTTCTGGGTGGAGTGGGTTCTTCATAAAAACACCTTCCAGATGACTAAAGTTTGACTGCGACATCTGACTGAAATTCATATTATGATTTGTCTTTCCCGCTTTAAATCCTTTAACTAGAGTACCTAAAATATTTGGGGCCCCACCCTGCAGCAACATTTATAAGAATCCAGCCACTACAAAGCATAGACCACAAGGAAACATCTTTATCTACCAAACCTGTTTCTTCTTCTGAGTGGAGAATTTCATGGCAGCATCTGCTGCAGCTGCGAGCACTTCATCATGAAGAGACGGCAAAGATTCTGGAATTCTGGAAATTGTATTGTTGAATCAGTAATTTTGAACAATTTATGCTGCTCATGAGCAAGCTATTCATTTGATGGAAAAGTAGCACTAACTGATCATATACCTGAAATCATTTTCACTAGCTAATAGGGACACGAAAGCCAGTTCAGAACCATTTGCCTGATATTTGTTAGACAGAGATGTTCAGAGGACAGCCAATAATAAGCCGAAATTTCAATAAGCAAACAAATTATGCTAAATGCGATAGGATAATAGCATGCACTGCAACTCTGATTACCAGAGTAATATGGCCATTCTCCATGGAACTCATTGCCCTGTCCATATTTGGCTTGAAATTCCAACTTAATACTGACATTAAAGAGGCCCGCTCCAGCAACTCTAGATCAGGCAAAGATCTGGAGATAGATAGATGTTTGCAATATTTTGACACTCAGTTCTTCCATAATATATTATCATGGACATGCAGCAAAGCAATCTTGCATAATTGACAGTACAGAATTGTACAACACACAGAAACTGTTACATTCAAGGTGCATTTAGTATGGCTGAAAAGTTCTGGAAAATCTTACCTTGAAAAACTATTTGTAGGTCATTTCCCAACATTTGGCTGGGTATAAAGGTAATAATGTATGTCTCAAAGAACTTGTTTCTTAATCTCCATCTCCAGAAGATGGGAGATAGGACATCAGAATAATAGTTTGGCAATGGCGCAGTGTTAAGAACTTACAACAATGTTTGTGTTAGCTGAAGCAAGTGATGTATTGTACAAATTGTGATAATTGTAAGGAAAATAACTACAAATTGAGATACTTAATATGTAACAATGAACAATGTCCATGATGACGCGAGCAAATTTTCTCCATTTGATGTAAACTAGTTTAGGATCAAGTGTGATTGATGTGATCATTTTCTTGGAGAACATTCTTGACAATTTAAGGCAACCAAACACTGGAAAATATTCTAATTATGTCTTACTAAGGTCCTTACAAGTTTTAGAATGGTACTTGCCCAGAAAATTTAGGAAAGAAAAAGGTTACCGAATCTCGATATCTCCAGTCTGAAAGAGTAATAGTAGCGCACAAGCTTTCCCATCTTTGCCATCTTTCACAAAAGTAGTAGTCCAACAACAAGGTTTGTCAAGCTTCACTTTGCAAACAGATTTATTATCCCCCTAGTTTGAAAAATCAAATTGAATTATATTAGCACATTCAACAAAAATAGAAATGCAGACGTAATAAAGCAATATACTCACATGAACTACAGATTTAGTAGCATAAGTGCGTATTGAATCTTTACAGCAAAGTAGGATAAAGGACTCCTCAAAGTGTTTCCTGGAGGGGTCATTTTCTAGGAAGGGAACCGTGTCACTTAGATCATGAGTGGTCATTTCTTGTGAAGGCTCATTACTAGTTGCATCATCCTTGCTGGACTCTGGCTGCTTGCTAATTACATCGGAAAATGGGATGTTGTTTTCTGAAACGCAAGAAAATCAACACAAAACTGAGTACAACTTACACGTCAAAAAACTTTGGATTTCTCTACAAATATGTACTTGCCTATGACATACATAGAAATTGCAGTCGACACTTTCTTTAAATGCAAGGGCCCTGAACCATACGTTTTACCATTACCACCATCAATTACATAGATCTTTGCATCCTCAGTTAAAATGAACATGAGTTCCTCCATACGGTTTTCTGGAAGCTCTGATTGTTTTGGGCTTTTGCTATTACTGTCACTGTGCACAAATCTCTTTGCAATCAAAGTCACCAGTGGAGAGCTACCAACAGATGCGGAGTCTGATAAGAACAATACTGATAATGAAGTCATATCAAGCACTGCAACCTGAAAGTGGAGGCATTAGAATAAGTATCCACATTAATCAACAATAAAATTGACATCATAAGTCCATCACAAAACTTGAAGAAAATGGTAGTGTTATTGACCTTAGCATTTTCGTATCCAACTGCAAGTTTGGCTCCATGATTTACAAACTCAATTGCTCGGACTCGAACATCGAGAAGCTTTAGAACAGCTCTGCAAGTAGGTCCTTGACCTTGTGCCAACTCATGAACTAAGAAAAGGTATATACCAGTGAGTTCACAGATAATAGTTGATCTCCAATTATGCAAAGTAAATCAGGAATATTTCAACATGGAAATGATATATTATTTCCTCTTATCCCATTCTGTCAAACAATATTACTATTTGGAGCGTCAAACAACTTTTGACTATAAGGTTTGAAACAATTTTTAAGAGCTTTTTAAATTATAGGTTATAGTACTTCCTGTCTACCGGAAACATCCTCACTACCCCACAAAGGTGGGGGTTAAAGTCCGCGTGCACCTCCCCAAACCCCACTTATGGGACTACACTAGGTATGTTGTTGTATGTAACATTTTCATATATTTAAGGAATATATGTCTGGAATCAATGTGGAAACTAGATGGTTTGACCCTTATACTACATATCCCTATCACTCATTCTAAGATGTAGGGGAAATATACTGGTAAAAGAAACATATTGCGCAATAGATTCAATCATTGGCCAAAAAGTAGCTTGCTATGACTGTGGACAGCTACCTGGATACAAAGAGGTGGTTAGAGGTGTGTGGTCATAATCAAGTTCATCTAAGAGAACAAAACCATTATCAGGGACAACCTTATTTGTCATTTGTGTCAGGCAGGTTGCGGCTGTTTAAGAATGTGTTCCGCTGTCTCAACTTGCTTT